CACTAGAATATAATCAAGCACTCACTCCAGGTAAAAAATTCTTTAAACACATTCCACATGAGAAAAACAAGGAGCAGAAATAGAAATTGTTTTTTCTTTTATTTCTCTCTGTGGACCTCTATGAAAAATCCTGAGAGAGGGAGAAATGTGCTGCCACACATTATACACTAGTACAGTGTATAATCTTTCTTACATTTTCCTTCCATTAACCATTTTTTGTGGTGTTTAGTTGCTGGCCAGGGTTAAACCACACCATCTTCATCACCTTTTTAAAATCCCCTTTTTCTTGTCCTCATCATTCCCTTAGTTTCTCTCCCTTTTCAAATACCCTCTCATCCTCTCCTGCCTTCTGGTTCTTTCTCAAATCTCACTATCAGTCTGTCTCCCATTTCAGCCCACAGCTGGGACCATCACTGCTGAACCTGGATAGTCTCCACAACTCTGAAATAGCCATGCACCACCCTCCCCACTCAGAGGGGGCATCCTACACTTCTAATGCCCAAGCACAGCCCCTTCTTACCTCTACTCCCTGCACATGCTGCCCTTCAGGTACATTGTCTCCCTCCCTTGCTAGACTTGTCTTTATGCCACCTCAGATTGGCAGAAGAGAAGATTTATGCAGGCATAAATGGCAACCAGCAGGCACCCAATGATTTTCTTTCAAGATTAAGTGGAAGAGGCAGGGGTAAGATCCAGGGCTGCACTGATTTTTGCCCTGCTGACTTTCATGTTGAGCCCATTAAAGTTTTCTGCTCCGTGTTTTCAGCAACACTTCTGCATAGCAGGGCGACAGCTCTCCAGTCTGGTATCCAGAGCTCTGCTGCAATTCATTGTGGCATAATCAGTTGTCAGCAGCTCACCAGAAACACTTTTGGAATTGGTTATGAGATGAGACCGAGCTGCAGGAAGATCAGGACACTTCTCTGTCTCATGATCCCACAGGTCTCTGTGACTCCTTGGCTCACAAGACATTTATTGTCTGGGCATTCACTTGTGTTGTGCAACGGAGACTTGACCCTGGGCTACTGAGGCCCTTGACAGAGTCAAGGCTTGCTTTGCACTGGGCTTGTGGTGCTGCTGTGCCATTCTTTGAGGATGAGGATACAGCATACCTTGGCAAGGTAGGCCCTGGGCACCCCTAACTTCACCAACGCATCTTCTCTAAAATATCACAGTCCTTTTTAAAACAAAAAGGCAACAGTGTTTTCAGGGAAGGAGCTCTGGACAATAGGGACACAGTTCCTGAGGAGCTAGTGTGGATTTTAGGCACCCAAACCAACATGCTGGCTGACACCACCATGAAGGGACCCCTCTGGAGCTGGTTCAGATGCTTCCAGAGCAGCTGGGCAGTGCTGGTGGGGCCACAGGGGCTGGGGCTTCAGCCCAGAAGGTTTTCTTGCCCCACACAACGCATAAGCTGCATGGCCACAGCCCGGCAGGCTGTCAGGCTGCTGTCTTTGATCCTGCATGGCTTATGAGAGTTCCTGCAGGCAGCAGGGCAGCCCTGGGGGCAGGGATCCCCAGGCTGGCTTTGGCAGGGCAGCCTGGAGCTGTGGGTCTGGCTCTCCCGGAGTCACCACTTACTGCTCTTCAAAAAGGCCCACGGAGCGCTTCGGGACCGCCTCTAAACAGGACCGGCTGACACTGCAAGCCTGTATTTTAAACCAATTCAGATCAAACACTAAGGAAATGCCAAACCAAAGAGCTTTCTATTTCCTCTGCTTCCCCTGTAATCCACCCGACTGTCTGCCGGTTCCTGGGAGTGCTGCTGGCCTAAAAGCTCCCAGCCTCTTCTCACACACAGAAGAGTTGGTTTTATCTGCCCTTCCTTGACGGGCTACAGCTCTAAAGCTTCCTACCCAACCCTTCCTTAATAAATTGAAACAATTACTCCAGGCTTCTCAAGGATAATTGCTAATAAAATTCAGCAGATTTCCCCCAAAAGACATGAAAGGGTTGGAAGCAGAACCAGAAACTAAAGGAGAAAGAAAATGCAGGACAGAAATAATAGCCCTTGTTCCATTCATGTCTCATCCACTGCTGGTGAGTTTTGTTCTTAGAGTCACATATTTCAGAGATGAGTCCTCCCAAGCTGTCTCCAGTGGGGAAATGCCTCATGCTCACTGTTTTGGAAAATTGGTTTAGTTGTTTTTAACGTTATTTAACAAGATCTTCCTGAATCTAGAAAAGAATCGTGAAAGCCTCAGGCTTGGATTTCCAAAGAATCAGCAGGGCATCAACAAAAGACAAAGTCACAAGAAGCAAAAGATGTCCAGATTCATCCTGACTTTCTCTGACAGGATCCCCTTCCAATGCTTTATTTTCCAAAGACAGTTTAATGCACAGAAGCAATGAATTCTGAAGCCTGGATGATCTTAGGTGTTCCCTTGAGGGGACTCTGATACTTCTACAAGTATCAGTGGTTTAGGTTCAAGACAGCTGAGGAGCTATTCAGACCATCAGGTCTGGCTTGTTATGGTCAAAATTAGACCCAACAGATGAGTTAAGCCTCTCAGATAGGCAGCCCAAATGGCAGGAACCCCCAGACACACCAATGAGGAGCAGGAATAGCTAGCTTTGTTTTCTGTCTTGTTAGGTTATCTCACTGGGCCTGCAAGAAGAGCTGCTGGAGGACTGCACAGCGTTGCATGTGCCTGGCATATGTGAGCATGAGGCTGATAAAGGACTAGGTGGGTCACCAAGCCCTGTCTCCAACTAATCTGTCTGTTGGTTTAACTGGGAGCAAATTACAGGCATCACTAAGGAGAAACTGGAAGTGGCACTGGCGTGTCTTGCCTCCAGTCTGTCTCTCCTTGGGGCACATTGCCAGCACTATGCAGGGAAGCAAAAGAGCCTCTGAAATTAAATTATATCTTGGAGGAAGGGGGAGGAGTTTTCTCCCTGAGCAGGCCACTAGCAACAGCCCTCAGCATGGGATTTATTTGGCTAGATACAGGAAAACAAATGACTACGCAATCTTCTTTCACATTTACCCAAATACATCAGCATATCACAAACCCAAGGATTCTTATCACAAGTGTAATTTTATGTCATTCCAATTCTATTCTGTAGTTGCGAAATCCCTTTCACATGCTCTCAGAACTCCACCTTCAGAAACACAGTAGTTTTCTTGCTTGCCCCCACTACTTTCTGGTGGAAGATCATTCTAGAATTTTACTCCACAGGAGGGGAAAGACAGACCTTGATACATTTGATTTGAAATATAGCACATGTGATTAGACTGTGTGGACAGCAAGAAATGGGAGGTCTTGAACAGGGAAAGAAGATTTAATACCAGAAAGCTCTTCACAGCATGACTAACATTCCCCTGCTTCTCCAATTCAGCTAACATGCTAAAATAATTCAGGTTGAACTTCAGCATTAAATAGGACCTAAAATTGCCTTTTGTAATTTTGTTTTCTTTACTGGTATTTATACATCATTAGATCAATATCCTGAATTCCTTCTTCTGCATGGTAAGTGCCTGTTCTTTAATCTTCTCTTAACTCTCCATTCAGATAATCCTGACAAGCAAGCACTTCCCTTCAGGGATGGTAATGAATCTAAATAAAGCCCTATTGTAGAAAAGGACAGTACTCAGTATATGTTTCCCACCAACAGGCAGGACTCATTTTGAGGGCCCTGCATGGCACAATGCACTGAAGAGTGTCATCTGGAAGGGTTTATCCAGTAGCTTCTAGCTGATCCCTACTAACCAAAGGTCCCTTGATCCAGGAAACACAACCCTATATTGAAATAGGTCTGAACTCCCCTTTGTTTCAGTCTATTGCTGCATTTGCCACACCAGTCAATGACAGAGTGAGGTGTCCTGACCCATGGCATGGCCTCCTTGTCCTTTACCAGCCAAGAGCAAGGAAATCTTTTTGTGAACTGCAGCCCAGAGCACCTCAGCTGAATCTATGACCTTTGTGTACTGAACTGTGCTGATGGTTTTCTTTATTTATAAATTGTTCCTTGAGCAATGAAAGAAGCATCTGTAAATCTATGGATGTAAGATAAATCAATTCCTTAGGGACACCAATCCTCCAACACTTTATTCTTCAATCCAGATAAATCTGCCTGTCTTTATATCAAGGCTTCATGAACTGTGAAGCAAGAAATCATTAAGTGATTTAGGAGAATGGTGAACTAATTCCAGAAACTATTAGACTCCAGAAAATCACAGAAGTTTGTTACAATCATAGCTTGTAATTCTGTTGTGCTTTCTCCCAAGGCACATAACCCTCTAACACAGCAGCTCCTGATCTGTTCCCCTGGCATCCCCATTTCCACTCTGCAAGGCAGCAAATGTGGTCACACACCCTAACTTGGGAACTGCTTTCCTAGCACTTATTCCTCATGCTGTAACATGTTTCTAGCACCTAAGAGTCATCAGAACCTGCTTTGCAAAGTATTTAGAAATGAAGTCTTAAAGCAATGTCACCCACAGCACAAATTAACTCACAGCAGACTCAGTTGTGACTATTTGCTGTTTCGCAGGCAGAAATGGCTGGATGCTAATGTTAGTCCTGGGAAAGGCATTAGGGGGTGGTCATTTGGTCCAGGGGACTCACACAGATTTAACATCAGAGGTAGTAGAAATTATTTATTCAAGTCACCTTGTGGACCGAGATTATTTGGTGGCCCCATTGCAGCAGGACTGGACATTGCCACCACCCTTAACAGGAGACTGTGGTGATGCTGTGGCACATACACAACAGAACTCACCACTCAGGGAAGGGCTGGGGCAAAGCAGGGTTCAAACCCTGTCAGAAAATCTGCCCCTCTCCAGGCACAGGAGCCTGTGTCCTGGAGAGCACAGAGGACAGGGAGAATGGAGCCAGAAAATGTGAGACCAAGGGGTTTTTGTAGTATCCCATATATCCCAATGTAGCCAGCAGTTCCGGCTCACAAGGAGAATCCCACTGATTCTTACCCAAAAGACTGATCTATGATTCCAGATTTGCTGAGGCAAGCCCTTGTATCCCTAATGTACTCACAAAATCAAGGATCTGCATTCCTTTTCCAGGTAATTCCAGGGCAATTTTTCCCAGGTGAAAAGGTAGGTAGAAGAGCAGGGCCATGAGGAAATCCTCTAGTTTCTCATTCCTAAGTAGAAGGTGGAATGGTCACTGTGAAGTTTCCAGATCTGCAGATAGAGACATCACCAGACCATTATGAGAAGAACAAAGTCTCTGCTCAAGGGCTACATTATACCAAATATTAGCAAAATGGCTGAGACCTATTTCTAGCAAGCACTCCACCCCACACTAAGACTTTGAAGGTTTTTAGAGAGCTGCTGACAGTCCAATAAACATACTGAAGAGTGGATTGAACTGGGTATTACCAGAGCTATTTCCAAGAAATGTATTTTCTGTACTTCACCTTCCTTTAGGTAACAGGATAGAAAGCTTTCAAACAGGGGATAAAATTATTTCTTTGCATGTGTTCAACACAAGATGAATTCAGTATTGTTTCCCACTGAACCACACAGCTGAGAGATTTTAAACCTCTAATATTTCCCATTCTGCTTCTCAATCAGAAGAGCAGTCCCTCCACATCCAGCTACACACAAAAGTCTCAAAACAAACTCTACATGACATACCTCATACAGCTACAAAGGTAATGTGATGTGAGTCATTAACTTCTTTCAAAAGCAGAGCAGCATCTGAAAGCATACAGAGGAGAAAAACAGTATTTCCTAAAAAAATTGCTAGTGTCAGCAGAAACAGCTTTCTAAATGGTGGTGGCAATACCTTGCTGATATGAAATACCAGCAATTACTCACATTTTACATCATCCAACGTCATGTATTCATGTTGTACCCACAAGGACAGCCTATGCAATTTTCCTCCTCTGTCAGCCAGCCTTCTCTCAGGGAGCATGGCACTGCAATCCTCTTGGAAGGTGCTGGTGGTTGACCAATATATAACATTCAAGGACACAGTGCTCATTCCAGTGTGAGAATACTGTCTGCCTGTTCTCTTCATTGCACTCAGTTTCAAAGGGACAAGCAGTGAAATGTGCTTGGCAGGTATCCTGAACTAACTTTCAACTGTTAGAACTACGAATCAGGCTGGGGATGTGGAGAGAAACAGGACATTTCACCTCTAAGGTTGCATCTGAAGTTGCTCCTTTAGTTGCTAATATAATAAATTGCAACTGTATTATATAGATCAAAGAGGTTTTAAGTAATGGATGAAAGTTAGCTATACCATGTTGTGAATTTATAAAATTAGTAATAATAATAATAATAATTTAATCTTTGAAGTGTCTTACACAGATGAATTCGTTACCTCACAATACTCTTTGGAGTAGATGAGTATTACCTCATTGTGAACAATCTGGAAACAGCAACAAAGATGCTGAATGACTTTACCAAAGTCAGACCAGGCCGAGCCTGAGCTAGCATTCAACACCAGGCATGTCTGGCTCTGTTTTTGTGTTCAGACCACTCATCCACCCTGTTGAAATGACAGCTGGCTTCCTGCTTCATGTGCTTTGTTCAGACTTGATCCTCAGACAATGGGTGAAAATATTCCCACCCAGATGATCTTGTTACTTTTTGAGCTAGGCTGGTCTAATTGAAATAACACTTTAATGTCTTTACATGCATTTCCCGAAAGAAAGCATTTTTTCCTTCCTTGAGGATTTCCTTAGCTGCTGGATTGGAGCTGAAATACAGAGTATGAGCATGCAGCAGTATTATTTTAAATTACTAGCAGCAGTACAAAGAGGTCAACCTCCCAGAACATGAAGATATATCTATTTCGACCTCTAGCTGACACTAAGAAAATATTTGGGTTGTGGTGAGGCCGCTGTGAGATGTTGCTTTCAAGAATACAGAAGCAAAGAACAAAGAGGCTTCTTGGGGGTCCTCTTGCTCTGCCCCCTGCCCCATATGCCCTGTAAGATGTAAACCCTTCCAGCAGTGTCCCAAATGGCTTTAGGAAGATTTCAGATGTAAACTATCCCGTTCCAGAGCTCTTCTTTGGGATCACTGAGGGAAGATCAGGCAGAGGTCACCACAGAGCCCACACCTCGCCCTGCAGAGCTGCCGGGCAGAGTCAGCAGCGTTCCCAAACCCAGTGGAGGAGGTGCTGAAGCTGCTGAGACACAAGCCATGAAAGGTGTCTGCTGTAGCTGTGTGAGCAGGACACAGGTGAGCAGCCAGGCTCCAGCCAGACAAAAGCCTGGAAAATGCCCAGCAGGGCAGGAGGCAGCAGCAGGCAGCGTGGGTGACCCACTGCTGCCACACTCCACTGGCTCCCTGCCCCTGAGAAAAGAGCAGGAGGGGATAATTTGGGTGATTTTAGGTTTTAGGGGCTTTTCCCCCTAGTGGTTTAAAAGTCCTTTTAATGCCCTAACCCACACTTGCCACAGACATTCAAAGCAGAGTTAGGTGCACTTTTTCTCCTGCAGTGTTGTGGTTCCCCTAAAGGTCTGCAGTCCTCCACTGCCCAGAGATTGCAGAGTCACACACACCACAGGGAACATCACTCCCTCGACCTCCACCTCTGGACACCTGGGGTGGCATTTGCCCCTTGCATCCAGCACAGCTGCCCCAGGGTGTGGGGCACATTTCTGACACATGACACACAATTTTAGCTGTCCCTCTGTAGCTCAGCTTGAGAGAAGTATGGAGTAAATGTGAATTTCTCCTTTACCCCATTACATGATGTAAGAATTTATCCTGCAGTTGATGCTTGGGTAAAAAAAATACTTGACTGAATTTCCTCAGAACTGCAGTATTTCTCAAGGCCTAAAGCTACATAATTAGAAACCAAACATCATTATTTTACTTTCCAGATTCAAGGGTCTTAGTATCAGCTTCACAGTACCACACACCTCAAGTGAGTTTTATCCTCTGCAAGGAAGCAGTGTATACAGTGCATGTCATAAATCTATGTTCAAGTTCTCAGACCAACGAAGTATTTATAAGGCAAATTCTGTGCATATTGGGCACCTTCCTTCAGTCTTAAGCCTGCTTTTCCCAAGATATTGTTTGTGTGTGAGTTATTGCAACAGAAGTTCTCAAAGGTTGCCAGTGTAAGAAAGAAAAATGTGTATTTGTTCTTTTTTTGTCTTTCAGGTTATATAATGGGAATAATAATAATGGGAAATTTGCTAAAGGAACCAGTTCTTTGATTGCCAGTGAATCTGAAAAGACTGGGAAATCCAATGAAACCAGGCATTAAACAACACATTGCTTTTTGGGTTTTTTAATAATATTTATGTAATTGTATAATCTATGTGTCAGGAGAAAAGAAATCTTTGCTAAGACATGGAATATATTATATATGTTCCTGATATTCTGAGAACTTTAAATAAACACCAGATAGACTGTTCAGGGGACACTGGACAAAACTGCTAGTAACAGCATTTTACAGGATCTATGTATTTTTAAGAATTCAAAATAAAAATATCCCCTGGAAATAAATGAGGTCTATTACTCCTTTCTTAATTAACTAGAGAGACTTGCAAACCCTTAACTATTATTTGTAGGTCACCTTTAAAGCAAAATGACTCTTATTGCTGAAATCCCTCTGCCTACAAATTTAAACCAAGTGAAACTTTAGGCTTTCCTGTGACTTTTTGCCAGGTACTATTCAGCCAGGCTCTCACAGATTCTTACTCAATTTAATTTGGTAGTAGAGGCTGGATATGGGACAACAGAATAATTTCAAGTCAGCAGCCCACAGCCCATGTGGTGGTTAGACCGCAGAGATGAATATGAGGAAATCATGGCTCTAATCCTTTGACAAAAAGTGGTTATTTCAGCTTGCCTCTTCTAGTCTTCAGCTCCAGCTTTCTAATAGTGTTTTGCCACTCTCGGATGAAAAGGCCCACACAAATGCTGTACTTTTATGTTACACACAAGGGATTATGAGCCATGAAAGAAAAATAGGAAAGGTGGTAATCCAGCATAGCAAGATCTACCAGCACACCACAGGAAGGAGAAAATTCCACCCTTATGTCTTCAAAATGCATCCCAGCAGCTTCTCACTAATGCAAATGGCTGAATGACTGTCCCAGGCACTGTGCTGGGGCAGCAGGACAGATCCCTGCCCACCCGTGGGTCCTCCTGTGGCCCCTGGGATCTGCTGCAGAGGCAAACATGAACAGCAGCAACAGGATGGAGCTGGGAAGGGTGGGGAGGCTCACAGATGGCACAGTGCTGCCAGGACACTGTCAGGAGTGAAGGGGTGACACTGCAGTGACCATCTGCTGTCCCCTAAGAACTGCAGATCCCAGCACGTCCCCTCCCCTGCAGCCTGCTCTGGCACCAGGACTCATGACCAATGTGCTCTGCTCCTCCCAGCCCTGCTAAGCAGCTTCCCTCTGTAACATTTCAGCCCAAACAGGGAAAGGAGTTTTTTCCATTTGATAACATCTCCACAGCCACTTATTTATGCTCATTGTGGCACTGATGGTCAGGAGCTGCAGAGATTTTCCTGGCTTTTCCCAGGACTGGCAGCAGTGGGGGCAGCTGGTCCTGGTGCTTCTGTTATGGACAGTGACAGCACTCTGAATGTTAAACACACTTCAGCTTTGGGCTTTACAAGATTTCTAACTATATCAGGTCACAAATATGTGACACAACCTAGGTCCTTACGTGAGCACTCAGCTCAAGATTTGGAAGCTGCACCTGGAAATAATTCCCATATACTAAGTTAGGTCACTTTAGGGCATGATTTTGAGGTTTAGAATCTTTGAGATATTGTGAAACATTTGGTTTTTCAAGCAGAGAATCTCTCACACATCATTCACAGCGGGTCAGAGTTATTTATAACTGGTATTGCTTAGTTCACGCCCAAAATTGGTACAAATGACGAAACTACTTTTTGCCAATAAAAGTCAAGTCTCCATCAAGGGTGAGGTTTCACATTACAGCTAAACCAGCCTAAGAGCCAGTTGTTAATGGAAGAAGCATTCTTGATACCATCAAAGTTTTCCCATCATTTACCTGTCTGATGATTCTTCATCTTTGACCCCACAGCAAGGCGGCTCCCTAAGCTGTCAAAAGCAGTCGTCCAGCAAAAATAAATGAGAAGCTTTCTGTTTAGTTAGCATTTTGTATCAGTTCATGGTGGAGTCAGACAAGGGCCAGATAAATATAAGGGGACAAGGGAAGGACCACACCTTGCAACAGAGCAGGTCAGCTACAACCCAAGAAAATGTTGCTGCACTACTGTATACTCTGAAAGGATGAAAATACTTAATTTAAGACTTCTAGACAGGTCAGGTCAGTAAGACAGAAGGAACATTTTCTGTGCTTTCAACTCTTAAAAATGGCATAAATCATTTTTGCAGTAGTTGCTAACTAGGGAAGATAGTCCTGAAAGTATCACAGGTGTTCATGACCACATGGAAGAACAAATGGACAACACAATGTGGGGAAAGAAAATTTCCATAAAGCAACCTGTCCCTAACTTCCCTTGTTTCCAAAGCCTTCCAAACACTGCATCTTTTCTCTTGTGGGTACTATTTAGAGGCATATTCATGCCCACAGAATCAGTCCATAGATAGGTAAGCAAGGATCTCAAAACAGCCTGAAAATTCCTTTCTGGCTCTGCTCTCTGCAGCCATCCCTTTCCAATTTTTTATACAACTGCATTGTGTATGTTGTGTTTCCAGTTGCTATTGCCGGCTGCCAAGTGCATATCTATGACTTGGCAGCCAAGTTACATATTTAAGGGGATGAGAGAAGCAGGTTTGGGAACAACCTCAGATCTCACCCGTGGCAGCCAGGCAGCACTGTAGAAACAGGCTCAGGGGAGAAGAGAATGTATGGAACTGATGGCTCATTGGCTCATTTTTAGAGAGCAGGGCTGTCAGCAGCCTCAGGAGACCACTGGCCCATCTTGACTCCAGTAAAAGTTGTGCTAAAAGAATTGGCACAAGTAAGGGATGTGTTGCAGAGATCCAGGGCTACCTGTGTTAGTGTTTGAAGTGCAGGAGGCAGGGGAGAGAAACCTTCCTCTGTAATGGAAATCTGCTTCGAACAGTCCAAGAAAAGCATAACACTAAATTCTCAGAAAAAAAACAGCTCCTTGACGTTTCCAGTGGAAGATGCCATAGTAGACACATGGCATTTAGCTTTTGCTGATTTATCACCTTCTTTCTTGTGGGAATTACATACATCTGAGGGGTAAAAACTAAATAGATAATGTGAAGCAATCAAGATATGGTGGTGATGAGTTCCACAGGCAGCATCCTAAGCAACAATTCTTCCTCGGAGCTGGGGCTGAAAAACACACACTAAATAAGGTGTATGTTCAATCAGACACTACTACCTTCTTAGAGCTTACATTGCCCATTGTGTGCACTGACTGAGGCAGGTGCCCTGCAGAAGAAAAAAAAATTAAAACCTGTTAGTGCATAATTAAAAACATGAGGCATAAGCACAAAGAAAGCAAGCAACAGGCTTGCTCCAACTGTCTTAATTCTGAACAACTGACCTTGAACCTTTAATAGGCTTCTTTTAGTGTTGTTTATTGTGGTGTGTGTCCATGAGCATCCCAGTAGCTGAGAACACTCAACAATATGTATACGTACCCATTCTTTAGGTATATCTAATGTTTAATTTGGATATCACACCCAGAAAGTAAACAAATGCATAAACTCAACAAAAATATCACTGACTCACATTCCAATCATCCACCTCTTCTCTGCCTCTTTATTCTTGCTGTGTCA